AGGAGGGTCTGCCAGGGGGTCTCCGGAAGCTCTGCCTGAAGAAGCCAGGCACAGGGAAGGGTCTGCGACCGGTCAAGCCGTCGGCACGGGTGCCAGGCACCAAGGTGGGCGAGCGGCAACCCAGCCGGCCAGCAAGCGAGGGGCCGGCGGGCGGCGAAGTGACCCTCATCGATTTCGGGGAGGAGGTGCCCCAAGGTAGCCCCTCGCCAGTGGGGGAGCTGACGGCCCCATCATTGGCCAAGCTGGCCATGGAGGCCTTCTCCTTGCTGGACAAGACCCCACCACAGAGCCCCACGCGGGCTCTACCCCGGCCCCTCCACCCCACGCCAGTGGTGGACTGGGACGCCCGCCCCTTGCCTCCACCGCCTGCCTATGATGACGTGGCGCAGGACGAGGACGACTTTGAGGTCTGCTCCATCACCAGCCCCCCGAGCCGGCGGGGCAAGACCAACTATGGCTTTGTGGATGAGGGTGAGCGGGGACCGGCGCTGGAGGACAACCTTTTCCTGCCCCCCAAGGAGACCAAGCAGCCCAGCCTGACGCAGACCACCGAGCTCTTCGAGGAGCTGCAGCAGGAGTGCATGAAGAGGCTCAATGTCCCTCTGGGACCAGCCGCCCCCGCTGACGACAAGCCCCAAATCCCGCCCCGTGTCCCCATCCCGCCCCGGCCCCTACGCCGCAATGAGCCCGGGCGCTGGTCAGGGGACCTTTCCCCAGCTTCAGGGGGTGAGGAAGACCGGCCGCCCCAGATTCCCCCCCGGGACCCACTGTCACAGCCCACCTCCCGGACGCCCAGCCCTATGGCCCTGCAGGTGGGCTCTCCACAGCAACGCGCCGCCCTCTGCTCCTGCCTCTCCACCTCACCGGGGAAGCCCATGCCCACCACACAGAGCTTCGCCCTCGACCCCAAATACGCCACCCCCAAGGTCATCCAGGCACAGGGCAAGGACTGCTCCAAGGGACCCTGCATCCTGCCCATCGTGAAGGATGGGCAGAAGGTCAGCAGCACCCACTACTACCTGCTGCCCGAGCGCCCTGCCTACCTGGACAAGTATGAGAAGTTTTTCAAGGAGGCCAAAAGCCCCGAGGAGGTGCCGGCATCCCGCCTGGTCACCACAGCTACCGTCCGTCCCATGGTGCAGCAGCCGCCGCCGGACTGCAAGGCCAACTTCTCCTCCAACAACAGCAACCCCGGGTCCAAGTGCCTGGTGAAAGCCTCCTGCAGCCTCCAGAAGATCGTCTACGATGGCCCGGATGGCTACCGCCCTGCCGACAAGATTCGACTGGTAAGTGGCATCCCTGGTATCCGTGGGCAAGAAGGGATGCAGTGGCCATGGACTCACTTCGGCAAGAGCCATCCACACCCTGTGCCTCAGTTTCCCCATGTTCAGCCCTCAAGAGGTGGCTACAAGGCGTCCCCAGACATGCTGTGGGGCAGAAGTGTCATTGCAATGCCAAAATCGGGGTCACAAGCCCTTTTAACCCAAATTAGCCCTACCCACGGCCCCAGGGAGGGAGTGGAAGATGGCTGTCACTGCGATCCCCTTGGGCTCTCCGGGCTGGGTCCATGGTGCCTGCGCCCAAGCCCAGGAGGGGCTGGAGATCCTGGGGATGGTCCCAGCTCCAGGCTGATGGTGCTCCCCGGGGCCAGAGCTGGGGTGGGGAGCAGCCCCAGTGTCCCCCTGCTCCAGCCACGGGTTCCTCGCTACCCAGGGGTGGTGCTGGGCACTGACCACAAGCCCCCTGACTAGGTGCAAGACACGGTGCACGGTGTGACCACCGAGGAGTGCCAGGCGGCCCTGCAGAACCACGGCTGGAGCGTCCAACGGGCCATCCAGTACCTGAAGGTACCGCACGCCCCTGTCCCCCCACCCCGCCTCCCATGAGAGTGGTGGCACCCTGTCACCCCCCTCATCGTGTGCCCTGTCCCCTTGCAGGTAGAGCAGCTCTTTTGCCTGGGGCTGAAGTCCCGCGTCGAGTGCCACCGGGTGCTGGAGATGTTCGACTGGAACCTGGCCCAGGCCAGCTCCCACCTCCTCGATCCCTACAGCACCGCCCGCCAGAAGTAGGAGCACAGATGGTTGTTTTTTTTTTTGGGGGGGGGATCCTCCATGCCACGCTGCTCTTGGTCAGCTGGCACCATCACCCCTCCTGAGCTCATGTCCTCTCCTCTCCTTACAGGCGGTGACAGCGGGGATGGGGCGAGCTGTGTCGGATCCGGAGCAGGCACCTTGCCGTGGGGCCATCCCCCTGGTGCCCACCCCCACCCATGCAACCTGCTGCTGGACTCTGGACTGAGCCCCCCGCTTGGGGGACGGGGACACCCTGAAAGGGAGCCTGCCCAGTGCCCCAGACTTGCCAGGGTGCCCCTGTGCCGTGGCTTCGGCAATGGGCTCCGTCCCCTCGCCCCTTGTTGAATTGTTTTTGTAAAGAGAAATGTAATTTTAATATATATATTA